AGAATGCATTAAATGAATAATGTTGGGGAACATAATTTACAGAGTATTCTGCAAGGGTATATCAACTTAGGCTCCGCCCGAAGTTAGCTTTCCTTTCTTGTTATTTTTTTTTCGATTTTTTAAGGCACTTGAAAGTCAAAAACACCGATTTTCGCCTAAAACGTCGAGATATTTGTTGCTCTAAAAATAATAAATTTTCAAAAAAAAAAAAAAAAAACTCGACAGCGTTACCTAAGGAATTTAGTTGAGAACAACTGTGCAAAATTTCAAAACGATCCGTCTGATAGATTTTGCAGGATCATGTACACCGACTTTGAAAAGGGTATCTTTTCAGGAGAGCGTTTTAAAGTTTTGGACGCCCTTACAAAACGAGCTATTTTACCTACGTTAAACTGCCCATAAGTTCGGAAGTTTTACTCGGATCGATCTAAAACTTTAACACAATATTCTCAAGATGTTGCGCATTTAGAAAAAAAATGAAAAAAAAATTTTAATACTATACCCCCCCCTTAAGGCAGGCTTGCACCTTGTGAGGTCAAAAAAATCAATATTTTTTTTTTGCAGTTTCGGATACATACATGTTTCAATTTTACTCTCCTAAGTCGAAAGTTATCGGCCGTTTGGTGGACCGGTGTCAAGCGCGTTGCCATTATAGTGCAAATTTTCAAACGCGTTTTTCTCGAAACCATGTTTTAAGAGTTGGCGGAAGTCGTACAAGTCGCAAAAATTGAGCAATCGTCATGAAATTTTTTATACATGTTCCTCAGAAGTATGTGCATGTCTGGAACTAGGATCTTTGGAAAATATTAAAAATTGTTTATTTAAAAAAATAATGAGTAACGAAAAAATTAGGAAAAAACCGATTTTTTTTTTTAATGCTGAGTTGGCGGCAGGTGTTGGTCCTCAAGGAATCGGTGGCTTGGAAAGTTGCCTTTACAGCGGTCCTTTTCTCCGGGAGTGCTGGTGTTATTTGTGTTAACAAGGCTGTGCGATACTCCACTAGTGTGGCAGTCGAAATGGGCGTAGCTGTGCGCCACTGTGTCTGTTGAACTGGCTGATTTGCGGATATTAGTGTACTCGGGGCTGGACGACGCAGCGTCGGTGCTGCTGGGATCAAGGATGTGTGCAGGGTTGTATGCTGCATCTGCACCAAAACCAACCGGCGACCTAGCTCAGTCTAGCCGAGGGAAGCAGGCGAGAGATCACCCAGGCTCTCAGCGTTACCATAGACTGCCCCTGAAATAAGCTAGGTGATACTTAAGGGGGAAACTGCTCTAGAGGCTTCAAATGTCTAACCAAACTATCCAAGAATGTGTCCCTAAAATTTCAGAAGCAAATACTGAGCAAGCGTCGGGCATGTATACGAGCGGCCGGAAACTTTGACGTGCGATTTCTCGGTGTTTCCTTTTTACGATTTCTTCTAACTGGCGGGAATGATGGGAAAAAAATTAAACGTCTCTCGTCTGCTTCCCTCGGCTAGACTGAGCTAGGTCGCCGGTTGGTTTTGGTCGGTCCTAACCCTCTAACTGATAAACGTGCCACTATACGACTGCTCTCATACCGGAGAGCGGGCTTTATTGTTGCGGATGAGTTGGAACTGCCTTAACTCGTTCCCTGGGCGGAAGGACTCCCGCAGGCATCGACAGTGCATACTCTCGGCGTGTGTACAGTTTCTGCCGGCTCTCCTGACGTCGATCCTGGGTTCGTCCTAGATGAGGTTATTGTTGACTTCAGTTAACACGGGTTCCAGAGGGTTGGACCTGTTGTCTTAACCTAATCAAACAAAATATTTTTAGATAGTTTACGGAATGGGAATGACATTTCACAGCACTGTCTTTTTAGAGATCAACATGACATTGACGCCATTCTCATAATAGAACTTACATAACCAAGTAAAATTTTTATGCAATAAATCGCTCTGATGATAAGACGCAAGGAGGAAATGACTTTCTGATCAAGAATCGCATAAGGCGTTATCATCATTTTCTACAACCTATATATAAACGGTTACTTAAACCTGGCCGCTGTTACTGCCCACCGGGCTTCTCCATTTTCGAAGCAGAATATGAAACATTCTTTTACCTATTAGGTATCCATTTTATAGCAGCAAGTGCCTACAATGAAAAGCACACCCATTGGGGATCTTAACTATTAAGACCAAAAGAGTCCGTATAATGCTTAGCTTTATCCTAAGAAGCCTGATTTTATTGATTTAGCTGTTACAAGAAGAGTGCCGCAGGCTCTTATTCACGTGAAACACATAGGAGATCTTTTCCTCTATGATTATCCACAGCTCTCAGAACGCCCACACATTCTAAAGCAAGAAATTTTCTCTTCAAACAGTTTATGTTTTTTCCGTTCTTATACATTTCAAATTCATTTAGATGGCTTTCAGAAAAAAAATGTATTACTTTATTGCTGCCTTACTTGATATATTTGCAAATGTATTCTCTCTATTGCAGGCTTCGACATTAACGTGAACTTCCAATTCAAGAAGTTTTACAACAATCCAATGGCTGTCCACGATATTACAATTTTTACGGTAAACCACCGTAGTTGATTTGAATCGTATGGAATAAAGTATACGCTGGGACCATTTTTATACCCTTGCAGAGGGTATTATAATTTCATTTAAAAGTTTGCAACGCAGTGAAGGAGACATTTCCGACCATATAAAGTATATATATTCTTGATCAGCATCACCAGAAGAGTCCATCTAGCCATGTCCGTCTGTCCGTCCGTCCGTTTCTACGCAAACTAGTCCCTCAGTTTTAAAGCTATCTGCTTGAAACTTTCCGTAGCTGATTTGAATCGTATGGAATAAAGTATACTCTGTGACCATTTTTATACCCTTGCAGAGGGTATTATAATTTCATTTAAAAGTTTGCAACGCATTGAAGGAGACATTTCCTACCATATAAAGTATATATAGTCTTGATCAGCATCACCAGAAGAGTCCATCTAGCCATGTCCGTCTGCCCGTCCGTCCGTTTCTACGCAAACTAGTCCCTCAGTTTTAAAGCTATCTGCTTGAAACTTTCCCAAAAGTTGTCTTTCTATTGCAGGTAGTATATAAGTCGGAACGAGCCGGATCGGGCGACTATATCATATAGCTGCCATATAACTGAACGATCGGAAATGCCATAACATTGATGTTTCTAAAGTTAGGCAGTTGGGATTTTTTATGGGTTTTATTTTTGGACAATCAATCCGACCTACCATGAAATAAATGACAACAAAAATTATAACTTCGATGTTTATAAATTTATTTAAATATACTTCAAGATATAATAATTCTTTAATTTTTTTAGATATATGTTTTAATTTTTATTGAAATCGGACAACAACATCATACAGCGTAAAATCGACCTAGCTTCAATGTTATTCACCTTAAGTCAAAGTTGAAAATATATATTTGTAAAGTATATATATTCTTGATCAGCATCACCAGCCGATTCGAATTAGCCATGTCCGACCGTTCGTAACTATAACTTTGTTGTTTCCTAAATTAATTCCATATACTCCAAGATATAATACATTTTAGCAATCTCAGAACAATTCGCAGATTGCAACCCACGGTTTCTGTTATTTTTTTAATTTTACAAAACATTTGTCGTTATTTTACAAAGATATTTTTATACCATTGCAGCGGGTTTTATAATTTCAGTCATAAGTTTGCAACGCAGTGAAGGAGACATTTCCGACCCTATAAAGTATATATATTCTTGATCAGCATCAGCAGGAGAGTCGATCTAGCCATGTCCGTCCGTTCGTCCGTTTCATGGCAAACTAATTCCTCAGTTTTAAAGCTATTAGCTTGAAACTTTCCCAAAAGTTGTCTTTCTATTGCATTTAGTATATAAGTCGAAACGAGCCGCATCGGGCGACTATATCATATAGCCGCCATATAACTGAACGATCGGAAATGCCAAAACTTTGGTGTTTTTAAAGTTGGGATTTTCTATGGGTTTTATTTTTGGGCAATCAATTCGACCTACCAAATTTCATAAGGATCGGCCGACTGTAACCTAAAGCTGCCATATAACTGAACGATTGGAAATGACATAACTTTGGTGTTTTTAAAGTTAGGAATTTGGGATTTTTTATGAGTATTAAGAATGCATCATATGAATATCCGATTTTGGAGATATAATGTACAGAATATTCTGCAAGGGTATATCAACTTCGGCTCCGCCCGAAGCTAGCTTTCCTTTCTTGTTTAAATATACTGTAGGAAAAGCAAGAAATTTCCACTTCGAACAGCTTCATACATTTCAAATTCATTTCGCCTTACTTGATAAATTTGCAAATGTATTATCTCTATTGCAGGCTTCGACATTAACGTGTACTTCCAATTCAAGAAGTTTTACAACAGCCCAATGGCTGTCCACGATATTACAATTTTTACGGTAAACCACCGTCGTCTCGATTTTCTTGCCGATACAAATTTTTCTGCATAAATACAATTTTCAATCCAAAAAGTATGAAGACATGTAATAGGCCATACTTTTGCCTTTTTACATGAAGTACGTAATGGTCTATTCACTTTTACATGAAAAACTCGTGCTATCATGGCACGCCGGTCATAGGGCATCCAAACTGATACTATATTCTCTGTAATATCCTTCCTTCACATTCAAATTTGTTTAACCAAGCAATTTAAATTTCTCGCAAAATAAATTTGTTTGTAATTGAAATTAGTTTTCCCTTTTTTAGTAAAGGTAAGTTTATGTTTTATTCATTATTCATTCTTTGTTTGGGGCTATTGGGGATGCTTTAAAGCTTTACAGATAATCATCACCGAAATTATCTTATTGAGTGAATTCCAACGTCGGTCGATCAATTGAACACGGTTCTCGCTGAGTGCAAAAAAAAATATTTGTTTTCCTCCTATATAAAAACATGTGAAACGCTATACAAAAATGTTGAAGAACTAGAAAAAATAATTTAAATTTTACTAGTCCAAGCCCGTCTTTAATAATATACTTTAATACTTGTAGACGATTTCTCCACGCGTCGAAGCTACAGTACCCAATCGACGTCTCAGTCATCAGCCACAAAGTCTTCCGCCCCATCGAAGTCGGTTTCCACAGAGACATCTGGAGGTGAAAAATTTAATAAAAAAGAGCAACTAAAACGGGCATTTAAGGAATATGGAGTTTCCATTGTGGCGTTCCATGTGGGAATTTCGTTAATTTCACTTGGAGGTTTCTATGTACTCGTATCTAGGTAAGGTATTAAGGAGGGGTATACCTTTTTTTGTCGAAAAAAAATAGGAAAGTTTGGATTTTTTTATGGATTTTTTTATTGCTTTATTAAATGAATGATTATATGTTCTGAAAGTTTAGATTGTTGACAATGTTTATGCAAAAAATTTTAAAAAAATATTTAATAGTTTTTAAGGTGTGGCTGTTTCCCTTAAATGCCTTTTTTTTTAAGAGCCTTGCGGTGATAATTCCCCAGGACGAACGGGTCAACTGAAACCGAAAAAATAAAAATATTTCATTAGTTTAAAGTAGTATTCTTTACTTGAACGAACTTTTTAAAAATTTTTTTATTTTGTACCTACGGGAACGTTTTATGCAAAAAATGACGTTTTTGGACGCAAAAATTCTTACAAAAGTATCTATTTTGGCGAAATAAAAATTTGTACATGAAAAAACGATCGTTCAAGTACTAATAAAATTCAATACGAACATTTACAAAAAAAATTTGAAGAAAATCGGTTCAGTAGTTTTTCGCCAATCCATATCATCGCAAAGTCATTTTTCAAAAAACACCATTTCGAGATATTCGCGTTTAAAGTTTCAAGTTTGGGTGTAACTATTTTTCTACTGCTCAAATCTCAATGAAAATTTGGGGAAATGTTCTCAAGAAGTTGTTCTTTAAGATAAAGCAAAAAAAAATTTATATATTTTCAAAATGGAAAAGGTATATACCCCCTTAAGAGAGCTCAAAGATGGTTAAAAGATCTTAATTAGATTCCCGTTGCGATTCTTAACTACGCGTCTACTGTGTTATAAATCGACCCTTATATATGCATTTCACTATTAATACGCTTTTTTTGTTGCAGTGGAATAAACTTGGTTCCCGTTCTGGAATTTCTTGGCATAGCGTCACCAGCAATTGCAGAGAAAGTAGCTACAGGAAGCTCCTTTGTTGTGGCCTACGCCGTACACAAAGTATTTGCACCTGCTAGAATTAGTATTACGTTGGGTGCAATACCGTTCATCATCCGATATTTGAGATCAAAAGGATTCCAGTTTTCAAAAATCAAAAAAAATTAGCTATTTTTAAATATTTGTTTTTATACCATTGTTATCAGAATTAAGTATGATGTTATATAATCCTATGAAGTTCAATACTTTATAATTTGGTTGACCAAATAAAAAGGTGACACTCAAATTAAAATTGATTTTAAATTAGTTTCCATAAAATTTAGCAAATATTTGGCCAACATTGTTATTTTATCTGAAAGGTTATAGAACTGCGCAAATTAGTCGAATACTTTCTTCAAGAAGATTTAAATAAATTTAATATTAACATTTAATCATTCGGAAGTGACCTCCGGAAATGTTGTGTTATTATTTTCTATTTATTTTTGTCAATTTTTATTTTGGCAATTCTAATACCCCTATGAAAAATTCGCCACGCTGTAAATGGTTTATTTCCGACACTACATAGAAGATATATTCTTGATAAGCATCACCAGGCGAGTCGATCTAGCCATGCCCGTCCGGCCGTCTGACCGTTTCTACGCAAACTAGTCCCCCAGTTTAAAAGCTATTTGGATCAAACTTAGCAAGAGCCGGTAACATATTGCTCCCATAAAAACAGTCGGGAAAAAAGAAAATAGGAATATAACTTCGTTGTTTTTGGGTTTTAATTTTACGAAACTCCGACGACTATATCATAAAGCTGCCATAGTAACGATTAAAAACATTATTGCAAAAGAGACCGAGCATCGAAATATAGAATATTTAATTTTTGTAACAGCTGCAACAGAATATAAACTTAGCCAAAGTTTTCTTCCTTTATTGTTTTTGGTTAAAATAAAATAAAAAAACATTATTTTAGTAAAAATAGTTATATATGCAATTATACTATTACTATGTTACCTTATTTTTTTTACATTATTGATTAACTTGTGTAATAGATTTACGTGCGCTGATTCCGAATCTGGTCAGGCAAATTACATCATTGTTATTTAAATTATTTAACAATATCAAGTGCGATTCATGAGCTTTTTTCTATATTTTTTTCAAGCAAATGCTGTTAAACGAAATTTTTAGGAAATGAGGGCACACTACTCTTTTAAAAACTATAATAAAAGGCCAAAGAGATGCACAGGTTAAAAAAATGGAAATCATGAATGATAGGCAAACTGTTATTGAGGTTTGTTTAAATTGTTGTTACTTTTATGTCTTTTGAAGCTGACAAGCAGAAACTGCGTGGCGATTAGCATACCGAAGTCTATTTCATTATTTTTATTTTTGTTTAACACGCCACAAATCCCAAAAAAGCGTGTAGCGGGTCCTCCATTCTTGGGCCGGGTGTCGTCTTGCCAGAGAGTTTGTATGTGTAAGCAGACGATTCCGGTGTCGACTTGAGGATTTACAAATCGTCCCCTTTTCTTCGTGCTTAAGCTTATTCCCATCAATATAGAGGCAAACGTGTTAATGTTTCATCGAGAAGCCGAGCACTCAAATTCGTCTCAGAATTCGTAGTGGTGCTACCAGCAAGCTACCAAGAAATGCAGTGTTATCTGCATATGTGGCCAGGAGTATACCACGAGCAACTGGGCTTGGCAGATACGAAGCGTAAATTGTGTACAGGACCGGAACAAGGACGCTTCCCTGTGGGACACCAGCACGAATTGGGCGAAGTCCAGAACGATGTCCACGAATATTTACAGCAAACTCCCTGTTATCTATGAACGATTCGATGAGCTTCCAGAGTTTCTCAGGCAAAAGGTGCACTAGCTTGTGGAACAATACCTCGTGCCAAATACTGTCAAAGGCCTGTCGAACGTCGAGAAAAACGGCTGAGCAGTATTTGTGATCTTTGAAAGCACTCAGAACTTTGTTAACTACTCTGTGCACTTGCTCGATAGCACAATGGCGACTACGGAAACAAAACTGGTGGTTCGGAAGTGCTTCTTCAAAGGCGTTAATAGATAGAAGTCTAGACTCTGAGGCAATAAGGTGGTTGCAGGGGATGCCTTTGTACACTGCAAAATCAATGGCCGTCGGAAGGTTGTCAGTGATCCAAGGAAAATGAGTGGGTCCGCCAGCAGCCAAAATCTGCATGTTTGTGTCAATGAAAACTGACATCAGGGTGTTTCCCCGAAGGCACGAGCGCCTGCACCATCAGAAACGATGGTGCGCATTCCAACCCTCTCCAAAGAGGAAGCGGCTACCTACAAAACCAAATAGACGCATATATTCCTCAGAAGACCAAAAAAGGTGGTGACCAGGTGGACAGTAGACAGCACCAAACGAAATTCTGACAAACCCTATGACCAAACTAATGGCAACTGCTTGCAGGTGTCATCGTCGGCTGGTAAAATGTGTATCTAAGATCATTAAAATGTCAATGTTGCGTTCCTGGAGGAGGTCCTCAATCTCAAGAGATTTGCCAACCAAGTTGTTGAAGTTCCAAATAAAGATGCTTATACTGTAAGCAGGTACTGCGTGGTGATCAGTACACCGGAGTCTATTAGAAAACTGTAACTGAGCAGAAACATAACTAATGTTTAAATAGGGTATGCTGGGATGGAAAACCAATTTATCCTGTGTGCACTTACTTGTCGTAAGTCAATTCATTTTTCTTTTATATGAAAAAACTAATAGTCTTACGAATAGTGTGTTTTACAAAACTCAATTCACCTTCACGCTTTGTAGTATCACTAACCATATAACATATAGACTGGTCATTTCATACAACCAATATGGACACTCAAAAAACTTTGCGGGAGGCTCCACAGCTGGCAGCGGCCATGATACAATAACATAAGGCTGTCTAAACGTTCGGGTTTTGGTCAGTGCGTGTTCGTTTTTTGAAGGAAAAGGTTGTCTGCGGACGAATTTTTTACAGAATTAACTCTTGAGCAACATGACTTTTTCCAATGTGTGCCGTTGAAAAAATAAAACAATTAGAATTTATATTTGTACACTACATTGACGATACTTTTAAAATAACAAAGAATGTAAAGAAACTTTAATAATCGCAGCCGAAAATGTTAGTATAAGTTTGGAAATAAAAAAGGTTTTATTTTAAGATTAGAATATATTTTAGAATTAAGAATCTTAACAAAAGACTTAGCATTCAAAGACAAAAACAACGCCTAATTTCAAATTCCAATTAAATTATAAAAAGTTAAACTCCTTTTATTTTGAAAGGCAAAAAAAACCCCTGAACCATCTAAGGGTTCAATGTTATTCACCTTAAGTCAAAGTTGAAAATATATATTTGTAAAGTATATATATTCTTGATCAGCATCACCAGCCGATTCGAATTAGCCATGTCCGACCGTTCGTAACTATAACTTTGTTGTTTCCTAAATTAATTCCATATACTCCAAGATATAATACATTTTAGCAATCTCAGAACAATTCGCAGATTGCAACCCACGGTTTCTGTTATTTTTTTAATTTTACAAAACATTTGTCGTCTATTTTACAAAGATATTTTTATACCATACCATACCAGCGGGTTTTATAATTTCAGTCATAAGTTTGCAACGCAGTGAAGGAGACATTTCCGACCCTATAAAGTATATATATTCTTGATCAGCATCAGCATCAGGAGAGTCGATCTAGCCATGTCCGTCCGTTCGTCCGTTTCTACGCAAACTAATTCCTCAGTTTTAAAGCTATTAGCTTGAAACTTTCCCAAAAGTTGTCTTTCTATTGCATTTAGTATATAAGTCGAAACGAGCCGCATCGGGCGACTATATCATATAGCCGCCATATAACTGAACGATCGGAAATGCCAAAACTTTGGTGTTTTTAAAGTTGGGATTTTCTATGGGTTTTATTTTTGGGCAATCAATTCGACCTACCAAATTTCATAAGGATCGGCCGACTGTAACCTAAAGCTGCCATATAACTGAACGATTGGAAATGAAATAACTTTGGTGTTTTTAAAGTTAGGAATTTGGGATTTTTTATGAGTATTAAGAATGCATCATATGAATATCCGATTTTGGAGATATAATGTACAGAATATTCTGCAAGGGTATATCAACTTCGGCTCCGCCCGAAGCTAGCTTTCCTTTCTTGTTTAAATATACTGTAGGAAAAGTAAGAAATTTCCACTTCGAACAGCTTCATACATTTCAAATTCATTTCGCCTTACTTGATAAATTTGCAAATGTATTATCTCTATTGCAGGCTTCGACATTAACGTGTACTTCCAATTCAAGAAGTTTTACAACAGCCCAATGGCTGTCCACGATATTACAATTTTTACGGTAAACCACCGTCGTCTCGATTTTCTTGCCGATACAAATTTTTCTGCATAAATACAATTTTCAATCCAAAAAGTATGAAGACATGTAATAGGCCATACTTTTGCCTTTTTACATGAAGTACGTAATGGTCTATTCACTTTTACATGAAAAACTCGTGCTATCATGGCACGCCGGTCATAGGGCATCCAAACTGATACTATATTCTCTGTAATATCCTTCCTTCACATTCAAATTTGTTTAACCAAGCAATTTAAATTTCTCGCAAAATAAATTTGTTTGTAATTGAAATTAGTTTTCCCTTTTTTAGTAAAGGTAAGTTTATGTTTTATTCATTATTCATTCTTTGTTTGGGGCTATTGGGGATGCTTTAAAGCTTTACAGATAATCATCACCGAAATTATCTTATTGAGTGAATTCCAACGTCGGTCGATCAATTGAACACGGTTCTCGCTGAGTGCAAAAAAAATATTTGTTTTCCTCCTATATAAAAACATGTGAAACGCTATACAAAAATGTTGAAGAACTAGAAAAAATAATTTAAATTTTACTAGTCCAAGCCCGTCTTTAATAATATACTTTAATACTTGTAGACGATTTCTACACGCGTCGAAGCTACAGTACCCAATCGACGTCTCAGTCATCAGCCACAAAGTCTTCCGCCCCATCGAAGTCGGTTTCCACAGAGACATCTGGAGGTGAAAAATTTAATAAAAAAGAGCAACTAAAACGGGCATTTAAGGAATATGGAGTTTCCATTGTGGCGTTCCATGTGGGAATTTCGTTAATTTCACTTGGAGGTTTCTATGTACTCGTATCTAGGTAAGGTATTAAGGAGGGGTATACCTTTTTTTGTCGAAAAAAAATAGGAAAGTTTGGATTTTTTTATGGATTTTTTTATTGCTTTATTAAATGAATGATTATATGTTCTGAAAGTTTAGATTGTTGACAATGTTTATGCAAAAAATTTTAAAAAAATATTTAATAGTTTTTAAGGTGTGGCTGTTTCCCTTAAATGCCTTTTTTTTAAGAGCCTTGCGGTGATAATTCCCCAGGACGAACGGGTCAACTGAAACCGA